GCCCGGGCATCGGGACGCCCCGCCCCGGCCCGACGGGCGGAGTCCTGAAGCCCCGGCCTCGGGACGCCCCGCCCCGCCCCGGCGCTGCGGCTCCCCGAACTTGACTTGGTCGCAGCTGCTGGAAGTGGCCCTCTGGCCCCCGGGGTGCAGAAATCCTGGGGCAGTCATCCAAGGCCTGGGGTTCAACTCCGGGGATTAAGGAGGAGTAGGGAGAACTGTACAGCTGCCCCCAAAATGTACCTCCCGTTACCACAGGACCTTTACACAGTGTCCTGTTAAACACTGTTCTTTATTATTATTAACATAGTGATTTTCCTAGAAACTTCAGACGTATGCCTTTTATATTACTAGAAAGGACTATCAAAATGTTCCAAACCGGAAATAGTTAAGAAACAGAGGCTATAAAGAATGGTACCAGGGAATGTTATTTTTCATGATAAACCTCTCCATGCTACTGAATTATAAAAGTACAATTAATTTTTATAAAATTTAAGGACTGAAATGCTAAAATTAAAAAGTATATTTATTTTGAAAGATACCAAACTCTGTGTTCAGCACATAGTAGGTGCTTAACACATATTCGTTTTCCTTCTTCAAAACTACAATGTAATTAAGCTTATTTACTTTACCAGGCAAGTGCTACGTTTTCCCACTTCAGTTGCTCCCAAACTAAAAATCGTGGTCTGTGTTGAATCACGATGTTTTGTCCTCTGTCAACTTGGATTTGAAATAATTTGGAATATTTAGCAGATACTCCTTCAGTCAAATAGCTGCCTTACTTGTGGCCAAGAATGTAGATGATCTCAAACTGCTTTGGAAGGAATGAGAGAGGAGGTTGTGCAGGCTCCAAGCAGGATCACATCTAAACCGTTCTGCCCAGACATCCCACATAAAGCTCTGGAGGGAGAAATTTCTCGTGGGCTATCTTAATCCTTCTAGCTTTCAAGAAGTTCTGTGTCATATACAGCTTAAATTCTCTTCCATACCCTGTAATATACAGCATAACCAGTTGTAAGTAATGTCCAAGGGAAGTGTGAAACATTTCTAGTTCTTAAAAATCAGTCTTCTGTGTAGGGGCCCTCTGTGAGGGATCACAGATCTATTTCATAGAGGTTTTTCTAGTATTATAGCATAATGGGATAGGATTTATCTCAATGAATATTTAAACGCTAATAGGATCTGTATACATTTTTGTTTCTCCAGAAAGGCGAAGTCCAAATGCCCGACTGCTAACCCTTCCAGAGGCAGCAGCTCTGCTGTTGGCTTCCTTGCAGAAACCACAAGAAGGTACAAATATAGTGACCTCTTTCAACTGCAGGACAGAAAAGCTTTGATTACTTTTGGGCTCCTGTGTTGTACAACAAAGTTGCCTTTATTCAGGTTTTTAAAAATAATTAACATTTGCCCCCACCTCAGAAATTCACAGAATGTTGATTATTTAAAGACCAGTATATTTCTCATTAAAGTGAGTCTTAAGAACATAAAAATATTTCCTTAGTGAGACTGGGGAATTTCATATGAATTCTATAGTCCATAGCCTATTGTAACCTTTATTTTTCTTAGAACTCTAGAACTGAAAAAGCTCAAAGTCCAGCTTCATTATTTTATAGTTGAAAAACCTGAGTCCAAAGAGGTTTAAATAATTGCGAATCCAGTTGCTCACTCTTAAAGGCTGAACCAAATGAAGCTGCTGAAAATCAACCTGCCCCCTTTTTTTTTTACTTAAAAACACAGCAGTTTCATGTGGTTCACCCTAATAGATATGAGCCAGTTCTGATTCTAAGCCTGTGTACTTTTAACTACACTAGAGAGTTTCTTTTGTGCCAGGATTAGGTATAACCTTCAAATAGAGACACTCTGTGTAGCGTTAAAACTACTAGTTGAATTAAGGCATCTTGATAGTGGATTAGCCAGGGCTTTTGGAGTCTAGAACAGTACTTGGTTCAGATTCTGGCTCTGCTGCTTGACTAGGTGGGTGACCTTGAGCCTTAGAATCACTGGTAAAATGGAATAATGATATCCATATGCAGGGCTGCTAAGAGCCAAATGAACAAGGTATATAAGTTATACCTTTAGTAGTTATAATGTATATAACTATTGAAAATAGAGGCCATCGAAGCATAATAAATAGACCTAGGTTTTTTTTCCTCAAAAATTGTCATGATGCCATATTTATGACATAATTTAAATGTTAAAATGTATAACAAATACAGTGAGTAGTCTGGTGATCAAAGCACAGGCCGCTGGCCCAGTGCTCTGACACTTGTGCTAATGGAAGAAACATACATGCTCTGTGCCTAGTATTGGACAGGCTGTGTGGGGGAGGGAAGAGAGCAGAAGGCACTTTCTGGCTTTGTTGTGAAAAAATACCTATGAGAAGCAAATGCATGAGTGGGATAAAGGGGCCTTCTGAATTTAGAGCAGGGGCTGGGCTGACTTGTGTGAGTAGAGGGTATTATTTACTTATTTCAGCAAATAGCATTAATGCCTGCTACGTACCAGGCTCTGTGGCAGGCAGGGGAAAAAGCAGACTAAGCAAAAGCAAGAATGACAGTGGCCTTTGAGTGAAAAGATGGGGTGAGCAGTCAGCGGAATAGCAGAATGTCAGAGTAGTGGTCATGACAGAGCTATGATGACGACTACTACTATTTCTACTACCTGTAGCTCGTAATAATTGAGGGCTTACTAAAATGCAGTGGGTCAGGCACTGTTCTAAACACTTGATATGGATTAACACATTTAATCCTCACAGTAACCCAGGGAGGTAAGCACCAATGTTATCCACCCTTTACAGCTAAGGAAATAGAGGAACAGAAAGATAAAGTAAGCTGCCCACTATGATGGAGCAGGTACATACTGGAACTGGGATGAAGAACACAGGGTAACTTACTCAGCGGAGAGATGACCTGGTGAAGGAAGATGAGACTGGTTATGGCATATAGGGCAATGATGAGAGCAATAATAATAATGACAATATGAGGACATCTACTATGTATCAGACATTAATTTTTTAATTTATGCTTTATTTTTCAATTACAGTTTACATTGAGTACTATTCTGTATTAGTTTCAGGTGTACAGCATAGTGGTTACACAATCACATACTTTACAAAGTGGACCCCCTGATGTACCCACCTGGTCCCATACATAGTTATTACAATATTTTAACTATATTTCCTATGTTTCTTTATACCCCTGTGACTGTTTTGTAACTATCAATTTGTACTTCTTAATCCCTTCACCTTTTTCAACCAATTGCCTGACCCCTCCCCCCCTTTGGCAGCCATCGGTCTGTTCTCTGTATCTATGTTCTATTTTGTTTTTTGTTTATTTTGTTCTTCAGATTCCACGTATAAGTGAAGTCATATGGTATCTGTCAGACATTAATCTTTCCATATTAGAGTTCATCTTTTCAGCTCAGAAAACTGAAATCTGTAAGAGGTATATTTACTTTCCCAAAGTCACGCAGTTAGTAAGAAGTGATACTAGGATTTTAAGTCAGGTCTGTGTGACTCTAGAGCTCTTTCAATGATGCCCACACTGCCTCTCAAGTGAACGGTAAAAAAATCTTCTGTAATTTTTTTTCTTACAGCTGGAGAAGAAAACCTTGACCCACCCAGATTCCTGGACAACAGTCTGCTAAACTGGTGAAAATACACCAAATTGCATGCAGTTACACTTCCACGCTCGTTGAAGACACAAGCCATGTAAATAAAACTCGTGGACCCTTTTTGCTTCATTTGCAGCCATAGGAACATGCTCAGCTAGTTTTATTCTTCTAGAAGCAAAAGTAAGGTGGATTTCATAGCTGAGAATATCACTGCCTTTTTTTAAAATTATTTCAGGTCCTCTTTAGATCTCCTTTATCTTACTCTTGAATTTTTTCAGTGCATTTATAAGACTGAAAACTCTTTATAGTGTTTTTTTGGTTGCAAGGAATACCCTAATAATTACTAGCTGTTGATTTTCTCCTCCTGTCACCAACTTGCATTGTCTTGTCACTCAGCAGGGAATCTAGTCCTCCAAGGAGGGTGAAGGGGGGAAGCATGGAAGGGTGATAAAGAGTAGAGTGTGATTCTCTTAGCAGTTCATCTGGGAGAAGGAAGGTGTGAAGGGAAGGGGGAGCGAGATGGAAGGGAAGAAGCCCTGTGAGCAGCAGGAGTGCCGTGGCTGAGAGAGGGCGTCTTTGGTGAGGCTGGAGAAGCTTGGAGCTCCCCCTTGTGCTCTCTGGGATCGCCCTGAATTCAGTTTAGAAACATGGATCTAAAAGTTACTGGGAAATAAGCAGATGAGACACACTCTGCTCCTCTGTACACTGTACAAAAAGAACAGACCAGCTTTTTAGAGGTAACCCATTTCCTATGGCTACACAGACTCAAAGACTGCTTACTCTAATCGACCAGAACTCTAGACTTTATTTGACATCAAAACGTTATATAAAGGCTCCCTAATAATATAAGTGCATGGTAATGTGCCTAATTTACTTCTTTTTAAAGTCAACTTGGGTTCAGTACTATCTGAAAAACATACTCACATACATACGCCTACAACCAGCATAATGACATATTTACTTGTAATTACAATATGACCGTCATGTTAATTATTTTTAACCAAATTAATTGAAAGTTGTTATTGATAAATGTCATAAGTAGAAAGTATTGTTAATTGTTATTGTCATCAGTATATAACCATTATTCGGTAGCTAAAGAATATCCTTTTGTGAATGCCTGTGTAACTTGGAATTACAATTTGACTGTGTTAAGTAATCAAAACCCTGCTTATAAGGTTTGTCTGTAACTTGTTTCATAATTGAATAATGCAACTATATTCAAGTTAATGTAACATAGATCTCTGCCCAAAAATATGCTAACATTAAAAAAATCTATGTGGCATTATAATAGGCACCTGTCGTTAATTATGATATGATTTTAAAGTGGATATTCTAGACAGTACATATATCCAGTTTATTGATAATTATTTACTCATATGACATAGACTTGGCTATTTAAACATTATATCTATTCCCAGAACACTTTTTAAAACATGTTTATTGATTTTTACAGAGAGGAAGGGAAAGAGAAAGATTGATGTGAGAAACATCAATTGGTTGCCTCTCATACCTGCCCCAACCAGGGAATTGGGGACCAAACCCACAACTAGGCATGTGCCCTGACCAGGAATTAAACTCACGACTTTTGGTGTACACAACTCTCCAAACAACTGAGACTGGCCAGGGCTATTCCCAGAACACTTTTGAATCTATCTTATGAAGCAATTCTTCCGAGAGTGAACTAGAACAATCTCAAATATTTCACCCAAAACAGTCTTTATAAGCTGTCTAGATGATCAGTAGCTGTTAAAATAATCCCAGCTCCATGTATCATAAGTACTTGAATTCCTTGAATGCTCTTATGCTGCACAGATATGCTGATCAACACAGTCATTGCATAAAGGCGCCTATGCCCAGTGTGCTATAACTTTCTATCTCCCTTAAGGTGTTTTTGCAATTCTCTTTATTTCTGTCTTTTTCAACACTGAAATGAACAAATGATCAGTGATCAAAGTTTTTCACATTGTGTGGCTTGGATTTTAAAATTGGGAACTATCTGCCTCCCATGCATATCCATGTACTAGAATACCCCCACCTCCAGATTGGACTTGCAGCCACTTTTAGCACAATTCCAGTTGCTCTTTCCCCTCTTTGCCTCTCTATCCTACCTCCCCTGTGGCTATCTGTGGCATTGTTTATATATATAAATATAAACCCCAGTGTGGGCTCTCCATTACACTTTGTTTCCCTGGGTTTCCCCTGACAATACCTCCTCTCCTCCCATACCACTACTGTGATCATGAGAGAGAAGGGAAGGCGAAGAGGCCCTGACGTTAAAATAAGCCTCCAATTCACACTTCTTTCTTTACCTAGTTATGAGAAATAAAAGTCTGTATCCTATCAACCTTGAGTTACATTATTTTACTTCAGCTTCAGGAGACAGGGAAGCTGAGAATGTAACCTCTCGGTCTCCTCCTTCTGGACTGTAAGTTCCTTCAGGAAGAGTTCATTTCTAATCAAATAAGCTTTCCTTTTAAACAGTAAAAAGTCACAATCAGATGCTACAGTACACATGGTAACATCTTCCTGTCATTAATTTGAGAAGTGGCCTTGAAAACATGCACAAATGTGCATCAAGATCTGGACTTAGGATAACTGCTTTATTGTAGATTTTGGTAGCCTGCAAAGCTAGATGTAAATTCGTGTTTCTGACTCATGAAAAATGAAAATAATTATTAAAGATGGAGTTGTTTAAAATATATAGGTAGTGTACCTCCATGGCGGAGACAGGATCTTTGGGGAGAGGGAGGGGAGGCTTGTTTGGTAGGTATAGAAGCTGTATCAATAATAAGCAAAGGACTAAGGTGATGATGATTTTTAAAACATTAGTAAAAATCGTTATTGCTTAAATTAACCACTTTAAAAACACTTCCAGGCTTCCTCCTTAAATTAAATTTACTGGGGGAAAGGAGTTGAAGAAAATAACTTGGATTCTATTTTAAATTATAAAATTGCTCTTCACTGAATCTCTACTTTTTAGGCAGAGAATAAGCCCCATTGTGATATTTAAAAGAAGACGAAATTGGTGGCATTTGCATTCTTTACATAATCATTCTTACTGTGCTCTCGCTAAATGAGCTCTGTTCAGCCCGTGAGCAGTTCAGTTCTTATATTCACCGTGCAGCTTTTTCTTGCGGTAAGGAACGTGGCCCAGAGCAAATGGAGACTTAATATTTAAGCGGTCCCTTTCCGCCTCCTCTTCCTCGTCGTACCTCTCGTCGTCACTGTCACCTTCCACATCACTGCTCTGAGGGCTGGAGGCCTGAGACCCTGAGGGAGAAGGTGGTACTGAGGAAGGCCTGGGGTATTTAAATCCCTCTGTCTGCCAAAGACAAAAATCAGACACCAGCATCATAACCTCTTAATTTTCCAATATGTAAACATTTTGCATGTGCATTTTATGAAAAACAGAGTTGGGTATTTTTTGTGGTCCATTCAGGAGCTACTAACTTTGATTCATTTTGATTCTGGTACCAACAAACTCAAGAGAGATTCATTAAATAAATCGCTTCATTTTATTAAGCATTGACATGTGCCAGGTACCACCTATATGTTATCTTATTTAATCTTTGTAACAGCACTCCAGTGAATTTGTTTTTCCCATTTACAGAAGAAAATTAAGGGTTAGAAAGGCCAAATGACTTGCCCAAGGTCATACAGCACATACGTGGTAGAGCGAAGATGTGTACCTGGGTGAGGATTCCCCCAGGACCTTTCATCTCAACTGTTAGGTTACACATGCGGGTTTCTATGTCATCCTTTAGATTTGCTCAGTGAAACTGCACAACATGGGCCACCTCAACATGCCATGGGCAGCCACCACTGCAAAGAATCTTGAAAACCAGGCCACTGAGCAAACTCCGAAGTTCCACCAGCTCTTTTTATTTCAGTTAGCAAATATCACTAGGTTTTCATTAAATTGCCCTTCTACCTACAATTCACCGAGATAACTCATTTTATAAACACATACTAAGCACCGAGTATAGGTCAGGCATGACAATGGTACTGAGGAAACAGATGAAAAAAACCCCTGCCCTCTAGGGTGCACACGCATAAAGTGGTCATAGTACTTGTCACTATCTTTCAACTATTTTGACACTATTATGATGTCATACTTGTACAGTCATTTCAAGGGTCAGACAGTCTACCTGAAAGCAACACAGAAAAAAAGCTAAGTCCTGCACTTAGGACTTGGCTCAGAGGAGATGCTCAATACTTAATCACTGAATGAGTAGATTAATGGAGGAATATAGCTGAATTACCTTCAAGTGGAGTGTTCGCCTCTAAAAAAGCTAAGCAATTAACTCTGCTAAAATCATGAACATGAGAATGAAATTCATAGATTGAGGGATTTACAAAACCCTTTCTCCTTCTCTATGGGCAAATTGTGTCTTGTGTTAACTTTCTAGGTCTGTTCTCCAGGACACCTGATATAGATGGAATAGAAGTTGTATTATTAGGCAAAATTGTATATGGTAAAAGTGACCCCTGATTGGGAAGTTAACATCTGAACTTGGAGAATCTATAAAATATTAAAAGAGGGTCCGTAGCTTTGGGGAACCCCTGAATTTGATGAGCCTTGTAATTGGGCATATTCCTGCAGAGACCATGGAAGGTGTCTGTGGAAATTCACACACAAGATACTGGCTCCTGTGAGTCAGAGAAGCTAAAGTGGATCTCATACCCAATGGTATGGGTCTCATCTTCTTGCACCTAACATATTACCTGAGAGTTAGGGTGACAAAGAAGTGTAGCTCTTGGACCACTACGTAAACTGCTCTAAGGACAATCCCACTGAAGAGAAATGTCTGGCCTGCTTCAAGCTGTGTTTTTTAGCTTGTATCCGTCTAAGTGAGTCTGACGACAAGCAGCCTGTGTTGTCCCATAACCATAATGTCTAGTTGGGCTTTAGAAGGCTTCCTCGTGGACACTGCTGAGTGGAACATGAATGCCTATCTTGTCCAATTCCTCCTGTGGTGCTTGAATTCAGTCTGTATTACTCTTGCCAAGTCGTCACCCTATATTTAAACACTTCCTCGGGTAGCGAAGTAAATTCCTGTTAAAGCAGGCTACTTTATTTTTGAACAACTCTCAAAAGAATGGGCACTTAATGGAGTGGTTTTGAACACTAAGACCAAGAGAGGTTTAATGTGGAGGAGCTTCTCTAATGACGTGAGCTGGCTGACTGACTTGTCTTATACTTTAGGCTAACTCTGAACCAAGGGCTTCAAGTTGGTCTGATTTGTCAGTTCCTCTATTCTTTGCTTTGATGAGACACTATGAAAAACTATAATACTTTGTGTACTTAGCTACTTCCAAATTAACAGGTATTGTTAGGACTTATCATAAATAAGAAATTTAGCTTTCAAAACAAACAACACATAAAGTACTTACCGTTGGTGGTGATGTGAGTTCCACATGGAACTTATCTGGAAAGGCTCTGCTTAATGTCAGGTGCCTGGCATGCTGGTAATACTGTGATCAAAGACCAATTCGTAGGTTAAAAAAAAGATCTATATGCTTCAACAACCAAGTTACTATATAAAATATTCTTCTCTTAGTTATGAAATGTATTTTTTAAAAAGTGACAGATTCTATTCATTCTAAATTTGAGAATGAGGGGGGGAAAAAGACAGTGTATAGTTTTATTATTTTTCAATGAATAGGTACAGAAATACTCCAAAACATTGGAGGGAAAAGTCTTACCAGCCTTACTGAACTTTGAATTCATGCAAAGGGGACTAAAAACATTGGTTTCATTCTACAGAGAAGCAGTATGGTGTGGGGGGAAAAAGATGAGGCCTGAATAATCAGACAAGCTGGATTTAAATCCCACTTTAGGCCTTAGGTAAGAAATATAAATCCTAGGAGCAGTGATTTTCAAGACAGCGTGCTGCCAAGAATTTCTAAAACATGCAATACCTGACTATTTAGTCAGGGCACTACCCTCTTTTCCCTTAGGTCGTCAAATAAAAAAAATGACAACAGCCAATACAGCAATAGCCGTCTGGTGTGAGTGAATCAAAATTATACCCATGTTTTTTGTCTGATCAGCAAAATATACGGGGTGTCCCCCCAAAATTTATACACACTTTGAATAATTATAAAGACAGTGTTTATTAAAATACCATTCATTTTCAAAATGTAGTAGAGTCTACAGACCCTGTGTGTATACATTTTGGGGGACACCCTATGTACGTTTTGGTGTGCTGCGGAAGTTTTGTAATTAGTTTATGTGTGCCATGAGATGAAAAAGGTTCAAAATCACTGCCTATGAGCCTAATCATTCTACTTTCATTCTAAAATGGAGACAATAAAATTAATCATCCAGGGCTGCAATGAGCCCCAGGATTAGTGTTCATAGAGAATCAGCAAATGGCAGCATCTATCAGTTGTCTGGGGATGTTTAGCAGTACCTAAGCAGATACATCATGTGAAGGCAAAGTGAGTTCATCCTTTATTAAATCACCCAGCGCTAAGCTATATGAACATCTGGGAATTTATAAACCTACTGCATGAACGAAAGTATTTCCCTCTGCACTTGTCATTTTGAAAAACAGTATTATTCCCGTTACCCACTGTAGTTGAGGGATAGGATCACATTAGCTCTCAGAGTGAAACAAAGTAGGGATTTTTCTCGTGACGCTCTCCTCATCGTCATGAAACACCTCTGCATGCCTGCAATGCACCAAGTGAAGCAATGACGACAGGAGAGCTAGTAAGAGCAGCGCTAGATCCTGACAGGCTCGCTCTTACGGGTCAGACTAAACGTGAAGAACCGGGGTTAGGGTCTTGCAAATTCATAATATGTAAAAAAAAAAAAAAGTACTTAAAAATCACTGAGATTATTTAACAACTATGTTACCGAGTTGACTTTACAGATTACGACTAGAACCAAGACGTCTGTGGCCCAGCGGGATTTTTCAAGGCATCCTCAGTATTGATCACCAACTTGCTTACTCTGCCTAAGTATCTCCAGTCCAGAAGGTCTGAGAGCCTCTCCGTTCGGTTCCTCTGGATAACTCTTTGGCGGCGCGACTGCTTGCAAAATCCGTAGAGAAACTGAGTCAGCTGATTGCAAGAATCATCCGGAGAGCGGAACCGCCTGTCAACAATGTAAATACCTGAGGGGCACAAAAGCCAATGCACAGGTGAAAAGCAGGGCTCCCCTTAGAGCATCTCTTCTCCTAGAGCACTCCTTGGGTTTACGGTAGACCACAGGCATTCTCTACTCCATGACTCCCTTCTGCCTCTACTTTATCTTTTCCCTCCAAGGCTGTATATCGTCCGCGATCTTTTAACAGTTTAGAAATGTCGCCAACACACAGCCAACAAAATGAATCTTGCTTTTAAACAAAACCTGGCAGTATAGGGACACCCTGGATTGGCGATTCTCCCTGGGGCTGCTCACTAGCCAGTCTCTGGGGTGAGACCTGGGTGTCAGTGCTTTTCAGACTCCCCAGTGTTCCCAGTGCGCATCCATGGCTGAGAACCAGAGCTCTAGCCTGAGGAAAGAGCAGGGGCACTGCAACTGCCAAGGGCCAGGGAACTGACCATGTGTAGGCAGAGGATCCAGCCCATTCAAACTTCGCTTGCTGCTAGGCAACACAGACATAGAGATGGTGATATGCAAACCCTCCTTCCTCTTAAACTATGTAAGTGAATTTTGCTAACTTGGCACAAACTTTTAAAATAGCTATGCTGACCAATACAATTATTGTAACATCACCCCTAAGACCATAGTTATTGTAACATCCCTTCTAGGTAGCAGAGGGCCAAAGGAGTACAGGAAAAAAAAAGGGGAAAAAAAGGTAAAGGGCAGGTTTATCCAATTTTAACACTCCTTTTGCAGTTTTGTTTTGTTTTTCTGTTTCAATTTAGTTCATTTAACTCCTCTTGTAGTTTGTCTTTTGGGCAATATATTTAATATTAATAGCATTTTAATCTTTTCTGTAGGCCACATAATTAAATCATTTTATTGAACAAGAAATGTGAACATTAGTTTAATCAGGATAGCTTTAGAGTTGGGCTCTGTAAAGACCCTGTGCTTTGTTCGGTTAAATGTCACTTCTCCTTGGGTTGGGTTTGATGGAAAATCTCACCGTAGGCAGTAGGATCAGCCACGTGCTCCTGCATGAAACAGCCAAAGCCGGAGAGGTTGGTTGTCACGCTGGGGATACCCATCACTGTGCACTCGGCTGCCAGGGGAAACAGACAGAGGCTTGGTTTCAGGCCAGCTCCTATGTCTTCTTATGCACGCAGAGGAGAAAAAGCTCCTGTCTATCTAGTAATAGTGATGTTTACTTTGTGCCAGGCTCCGTACTAAGCTATTTACAAGTATTAACTCATTTAATCTTCTAACAACCATATGAAGTGAGGCTACCATAATTTCCATGGAACAGATGAAGAAAGTAAGGCACAGAAAAGTTAAACAGCTTGTCCAACTTCACAAAGCCAAGGGGCGGGGGAGAGCTGGGACTTGAAGCCAGGTGCCCAGCTCCAGAGCTCTTGCTGGGAACGGCCTCTCAGTACTGGTTTTGCTTTTCACTCCATTCTAAGCTTATGTTTCTAAGTATTTAGCAAGTTAATGGGGTAGGTAAATGTTTTGGACATGCTTTGGAAATCTCCCTCCACACAAATGCCTTCCACGTTCTCAGGTGCTCAGTGAACCCCGTGGTCTCTCTCAATCCTCTCACCTTTTGGTCAAAACCTGTTTTTCAGAAAATATCAGATATTTTTTATGAAACATTACCACTCTCAAGGATACTTGCATTTTATTTAATTTTTTTTTAAGATTTTTTGATTTTTAGAGAGAAAAGGAGAGGGAAAGAGAGAGAAACTGATGTGAGAGCGAAACATCCATCAGCTGCCTCCTACATGCCTCCCACCAGGAATCAAGACAGCAACCCCGGCATGTGCCCTGACTGGGAATGGATCCCGCAACCTTTTGTTGCAAGAGATGATGTCCAGCTGAGCCACATGGGCCAAGGTGAGAATATCTGCATTTTTAACAGGGAAATTGCATTTGATTGTGGAATAACTCTTGATTGGCTAGTGAGGTTGGGTAAAAAAATATATATATATTTCCTTATTGCCCATGAAGTAACACAATTTAAATAGTGGCTTTTTCTCCTTCTCTGCAAGTATTTCCTCTTGGTTTATCTCTAGAGAGCAGTAGTTCTTAATTTAGGATGGAGGGGTGGGAGAGAGGAAGGTAGAATGGGATTATTGACCCATTTGAGAATCTGATAAAAGCTCTGGATCTCTTCCCTAGAAAAATTCATATATATATAATATATATATATTATATATATATAATTTTGCCTAAAATTCTATGAAACTTAATAGATCTTTATGTTTTATTAAATGTGCATTAACACATGTTACAAAATGCCAGGTATCCATGTAAACTCAGTATATGAAATAAGTGCTTATATTCATTGGGCTTTCTCAAAACACAAACTTTAATGAATACTTTCTGGAGTGAGATAGAGTTAGTATTACATAGAATGATTATTCTTATAAAATATTAGAGAGTTATCTAATATGCTAACATCAAACTTAGAGCACCCGAGGTTTCATTATTTCTGCAATTATAGGTTAGGTGAGGAGTGGCCAACTTCCCTGGGTTAATTCAAAACAGAATAACTCATTCACAATGGAGTATTTCCCAAACATGTTTAATTTTTTTCTAGTTATGTTTTATACCACCTTAAAAAACTGGATATAACTTCTCTATCATTTCAGGTTAAGTTTAACTTTGTCCTGTAAAATGACATTTGGGTGGAAAGTCTGTCATAAGTTATAAATCATTCTCTTTATCTGACAGTAATGATTTCCCGTATTCCCTCAGGCATTTAAGCTTTCATTTTGTGCTTCTCTCTCCAATAGTAAATTATATGTCAACTTTGACTATCACACACATATGCATTAAATAAACTTCAAAACATTCCACAATCTGTACATGTCACCTACCTGGAGTATAACCCCAGGGTTCATAGTATGACGGAAATACTCCAAGATGACAACCTCGGACAAACTCTTCATAATCCATGGGTAACAAGGGGCTGGTGGAGGACAGGAACTCTGGGTGCAAAATCACCTAAAAAAAGAAAATTCTGATGAGGAAAAAAGAGAAGAAGAAGAAACTGAAGCAAAAAGAAATACAAACCTCCTACAATTTGGTTATTTTAATACTGTAGAATCCTTGTGTTCTAGATTTAGGGGGAAAAAAGAGAACAGAAAGAAAAAAGCCTGCTGCTTCTTTCCCCCTCTCAACAATCTGGGTAAGATGGTCATTGGCGAGAAAAAGGGACATCTGTAATATTTTAAACAAAAATAAAATTAAAAAAAAAAAATCTGAGTAAGTATCTGCTCTGTGGACTACCTTTCCCTCTGATTCCAAGGCCTAGGCTGGAGAAAGGGACTTTGTGTGCCACTGCTGTTCTCCAACCCAGCCTTTATTGGCAGCAAAGGTTTTATTTGGTTCTCTAACTGCTTCTACTTCGCTAAGGTCTCAGCACAACAACCCGAGTGAACCTTTAAAACGTCAGCCACTTCCCTGCTCAGAATCCCTCGGTGGCCTCCCATTCCACTCTGAGCAAAAGCCAAAGTGTTTACGGTGGCCTTTATGCAGTGGCGTGCCGGTAAATGTTCAAGAACCAAAAGACAAGTATAAATATATATTTGTACATGAGTTTATAGTAAATTTTACTGATATGAAAGATATCATTATAGCATACAATTTCTAAACAATAAAAAACATACACACAAAAACCTGTTAGAGTTCTCATTGAATGATTATTACGTTATCTGTCAGCCTCCCCTCATATCTAAGTAATCATTGAAAATAAAATCTGATTTTAAGGTGCTGAGATTATACATATATCTATAGTTATATAATATAATATAATATTTACCATAAGATATAATTAATAGTATAATATATAATATAATAATATAATTTATAATTAACATATATTTACATTATTTTTATATAATAATATATTAAAATGTCATATGTTATATATTACATATATTAGTGCCTTATAAAAGGGGGAAAGATCCCTGGCCCCTTTCCCCATGTGAGGACACAGCAAGATGGTACCATCTGTGGACCAGGAAAAGGGCCTTCACCAGAACTCAACCACACTGGCAGCTTGATGGTGGACTTCCCAGCTTACAGAATTAGGAGAAATAAATGTCTATTGTTTACAAGCCACCCATCTGGTGGCGTTTTGCTAGCAGCCTGAACAGACTAAGACACCTGCCCTCTATGGAACCCATTGAACTCATCTCCCTCAGTGCACAGACACCCGCCTCACTGCAGCGAGCCCAGCAGCAGGGCTGCTCCCCACTGTGTGGACCTTCCTCACCCCTGGGCTCTGACCCCTTTCTCGGGACGGTTGTAGCACGCTGCTCCTTCCAGTGTAGACTCCTACCTTGTGTTGCCCCACCTATGGCTTTAGGACTGAATTATTTGGGAAGGGAAGGGAAAAGAGAAAGACAAAGAGGAAAAAGACACTTTGTTTTAACAAGCACACTACACTCTTTATTCATAGAATAAGTTTATAATCTTCCAAAGAGATCACTTTGAAGAAAAACCCTAATTTGGATATATAACAATAATGATAACATTAGCTTTTTACAATACTTTCTATATTACAAATAATTTTCATATATTGCCTCATTTAATCTTTGCAACATTGTGAGATAATTAGAATGATCATTCTTACTGTCCTAATTTTAGTAAGTTAACAGGCATTAGTTATACATGTATCAGTAGATTCATAAATAGGAGATACATTAAACATAAGAAGAAAGAAAATGGTAAATGTCCAAAACCAGTACCATAAAAATGACTCATTCAATCATAAGAATCACACACTGGCAAAGTAAAAATGGATAAGATATTTTTTTCTAGGAAGCATGATTTGGGTTTCTATTACATGCAAAGTACTACACTAGGAAAAGGGACAGATGTGACTGTCTGGGCAACCATCACATCAACAGGCCACTATGCTCTCTTGGCAAATATCAGGTAAGGGGGATTTGAAAGGCATTGTGTCTATTTGGCATTTCCACACATAGGAAAAGTTGTACTCTCCAAAGCCCATTTAGAACATGAAAACACTATGGCTTGTTTGTTTTGTTCCTAGCCAAACAGAATGATCAAACAACTAAAATAAGAAGACAGCTGCTCTGGGCCTTAAAACAGCCAATTGCAGAAGCCCAAGGTGGAAGAAAGGATATTAGAGGTCAGCCCATGGTTATAGAGAGGATTAAAGGAGATCCTGTCTACAAAAGCCCCCGGCAGAGCACCTGGCTCATAGAAAGCCGTGGATCAGTAGGGGGAAAAAAAAAATGAACAAAAATGTGTTTGACTGTGTTTATCTCAGGAGGCAAGTAAGGCCCCAGGAAGTTAGTTCCTTTCACAGTGTCAGCACAGGGTGGTGACCTGAAATCTGCAGTCTAGGCTTTTCTCACTATACCACCACACTGCTGACAGAAGGGAAAGTCAAAATAATCTGTAACGTTTCCTGAATCAAATGGTCACATTTATATATTAAAAAAAAACTTGCCAATTCACTCTGAGAGTTAAGAACTACTCTATAGGGTTATATAAATATACAGACTATGAAATAGGACTTATATTAGCACAAACCCTGAGTTAGTGTCAAGCCCTTAAAGGATATTGTTAATAAAACACAATGCCTAATTCTGAACTGATCAAAGTTTGTCTCAGCACTTTGAAGGTATATTGTTAGGAAAGGGTTATTTTATTCCTTTTGTGTGAGTGTGTCCATTTGCTTTATGATAATAAACGGATATCTCAATATTTGTGAGTTTAACTGCATAAATAGTTTGAGATGAGCTTCCGTCTCCATTCACTCTATAGAAGCCATGTGCTATCGTATCTCTACTTCTTCTGCCAGGTGAGCCCTCCCTCCTGTTATTTGCATGATGAACTCCTGCTCAACAATCAAGAGCTAGCTAACATGTCAGGTCTTTTATAAAACATTTTATCAAATCCTGCAGGAAAGACAAATCTTCCATCTTCAGTTCTCACCAAACCCTGTCCATACCTCTCTTCTAAAAATCGTTAAGTATCCATCATGTGCTGTTACTGGACTAAGTACAAATAAAAGCTAACATGTATTACGCACTGACCATGTGCCAATACTGTATAAATGCAGCATCTATTACTTTTTAAATCCCACAACAATTCTATAAGTGTGGGCCTGTTTTATTATCATTTTACAGATGAGAAGATTGAGGTACAGGCAGATTAAGTAAACTCACAAACTGCATCAGTAGCAGAGGTTTGAAGCCAGACAGTGTGAGTACAGTCTTTAAGGACTTGCTATGTTGCCTGCCTTGACATGTGACCGTCCTGAATTTGCTGCTCAGATTTCCTCTAAGACATCCTGGACCTGGGGATCTTGACTGATGGCTCCAACTGCACCTACTCTCGATCCGCCACAGCAGCTGCCCCTGACCTCTAGACAGGCAGACATGGGTACTAGTGCCAATCCATGTCCACCCAATGGGTGATTCTTTTAAGGGTAATTTTTTTGGAGGAATACTGTCGCTATTCATATGAATCCCCATTAAAACAGCTGCATCCAGCTGCTCACAGAACAAGACAGCCATCTGCCAGCCAACCTGAAACTGCTTTGGTAGGTAGAAGATACACATGAAGGTAAAACATAAAGAAAAAGCTGTTAAATACAGCACGATGTTGTATGTAGTAACACTTATATATTTAAAATAANAATAGTCAGGTATTGCATGTTTTAAAATTTTTTGCGTCACACCAGTTGAAAATATCTGACCTAGAACAAAACTTAAGAACATATTAAACACACACACACACACACACACACACACACACACACACACACACACACACACAGAGGTATCTTTTGTATTAAGAAAGGAAACATTGAGCCCTAGCCAGTTTGGCTCAGTGGTTAGAACATCGGCCCTCAGACTGAAAGGTCCTGGGTTCTATTCCAGCCAAGGGCACGTACCTTGGTTGCAGGCTTGACCCCCAGCCTCAGTTGGGGCCCTGTAGGAGGCAACCAGCCAATGTCACATTGATGTTTCTCTCCCTCTCTCTCCCTCTCACTCTCTGAAAAGCAATGGAAAAAATATCTTCTGGTGAGAATTGA